AGCACAGGCTCCAGACGCACAGGCTCAGTAGTTGTGGCTCACGGGCTTAGTTGCTCCGCGGCATGTGGGATCTTCCCAGACCAGGGCTTGAACCCATGTCCCCTGCATTGGCAGGCAGATTCTCAACTACCGCGCCACCAGGGAAGCCCTGGGATATTAATCTTTTATCAAATATATGGTTTATGAATATTTTCTCCCAGTCTGTAGGTTGCCTTTTCATTTCATTGATTGCTTCCTTTGCTGTGCAGAAACTTTTTAAAAAACGGAAGTAGATGAGTTACTTCCAAACGCTGGCCTTTTATGAGGCCAGCATCACCTTGATACCAAAGGCAAGCAAAGACAAAGAAACCACAAGAAAAGAAAGGTCAATATCTCTGATGAACATAGATGCAAAAATCCACAATAAAATACTAGCAAACTGAATTCAACAGCACATCAAAAAGATTATACATAACAACAAAGTGGGATTTATCCCTGGGATGCAAAGTTGGTTTAACATATGCACATCAATCAATGCAATACTAGACATTAAAAAATGAAAGGTAAAAAACACATGATCATCTCAATGGCTGCAGAAAAAGTATTTGACAAAGTCAAAAATCCATTCATAATTTTCAAAAAAACCCTCTTAACGAAATAGGTACAGAAGGAAATTTCCTCAACAAAATAAAGCCCATTTATGAAAGGCCCACAACTAACATCATAATCAATGGAGGAAAACTGAAAGCTTTTACTCTAAGATCTGGTAAAGACAAGGATGCCAACTCTCACCACTTCTATTCAAAATAGTACTGGAAGTAATAGAAAGAGCAATAAGATAAGAAAGAGAAATAAAAGGCATCAAAATCAGAAAGGAAGAAGTAAAATTATTGCTTTTTGCAGATGACATGATCCTATATGTGGAAAACCTAAAGACTCCATAAAAAATGTTAGAACTAATAAATGAATTCAGTAAAGCTGTAGGATAAAAAGTCAACATACAAAAATCAGTTGCATTTTTTTATACCAGTGATGATATCTCCAAAAAGGAAATCAAGAAGACAATCCCATTTACAATAGTATCAAAAAAATGAAATACTTAAGAATAAATTTAACTAAGGAGGTAAAAGAGCTGTACACTGAAAACTATTAGTCACTGATGAAAATAAATTGAAGCAGGTGTAAATAGAAATATCCTGTGTTCATAGACTGGAAGAATTAATATTGTTAAAATATCGATACTTCCCAAAGCATTATACAATATTCATTCCATCACTATCAAAATTCCAAAGGCATTTTTCACAGAATTAGAAAAAACAATTCTAAAATTTGTATCAAACCACAGAAGTCCCTGAACAGCCAAAGCAATCTTGAGAAAGCTTTAGGCATCACACTTCCTCATTTAAAATTATATTACAAAGCTTTAGTAATCAAAACAGTATGACAATGGCATAGAAGTAGACAAAGATACCAGTGGAACAGAATAGAGAGCCCAGAAATAATATATATATATTTCATCAACTAATTTTCAACAAGAGTGCCAAGGAGAGACAATGGGAAAGGGATAGTGTCATCAATAATTGTTGCTGGGAAACCTGGATATGCATATGCAAAAGAATGAAATTGGAACCTTCTCTTACACCGTACACAAAAATCAACTCAAAATGGATTAAAGACTTAAATGTAAGACCCGAAACAATAAAATTCCTAGGAAAACACATAGGGGAAAATCTCCTTGACATTGGTTTTGACAATTATTTTTTTGGATATGACACCAAAGTCTTAAGCAAAGCAGTAAAAATAAATGGGACTAAAGTCATTGTATTCTTTACCATCATATATTCACCCAAATAAGCAAATGAACAAACAAAACATATTTCAATTGTATTTTCATTTTACTTAGGAATCATATTGATGAAACAATAAAAATAACTATTAAATCTAGACCTTTAAGTACATCTTTTTAATACTGTATGTGAAAAAATGGTAAGAACCCATAAAACACATCTGCTACATACTGACATGAAATGATTATCTCCAGGGGGAGCACTTGTGTGATTCTTGAAATTACAAGCAACCTGGCAAAAATTCTTTTCACAGAACACCTATTTTAATGGAAGTGTGACTGACAGAAAAAATATGGTTATTCAGACTTGGGTATTTCTCAGACATTTTCTCAAAAATGAACTAAGTGAGCCTGTCTTCAAAGAAAACAATTGACAGTATTTATTAACAAAGCTAAATTTTAAGTTTTCAGATGAAAATTAAAATTTGGGCATCTACTGTGTCTGCATTCTTGAGCTTAACAACTTCTCTAAACTTACAGACATTTTTTTGTGGAAACCAAGGGTGATATTGATGAATTTTTTATATTGATAATGAAATATGTTGACATTTATAAGATCTTCATAACTCAGTGAACCAGTGTTTTACCCATAATCAGTCAAAGGTGAAAAGAGACCTATGGATTTTAATGCAACAGTGTAAAATGTGTATTACACCATGTCAGACCCCCCATGGTAATAACCTTTAAAAGAAATATGTCAACTTTGGAGATAGAATTGAAGAATATCTACAGTTGGCTGAAAATGCTCTTAAACTGTTCTTCCCTTTTGCAACTTCATGTCTGTGTGAGGACTTATTTTCTGTATATACTTAATCAAAACCATGTATCTGAATTCAGAAGCAGAAATGAGTATCAAGCTGTCTTCTCTTAAGCCAGACATTGAGTTTTGCAAAAATGTAAAAACGTTAACACTCTTTGCCTATTTAAGAAATTTTTTAAAATTTTAAAATAGTATTTGTGTTATCATAAAATGGTTTATTAGTTTTAAACACATTAATAAATAAATTTTGAATACAAGTACTAATATTTCTTATTGTGATCATTAATAGATATAAGCCACATGAACAAAATAGGGCAGGAGAGTAAGGTTGTAAGCTGTCTATATACTTTTTTAACTTATGCTTTAAAATCCAGGTTTCTTGTAACATTGGTTGGTACAGGTGACCAATCCACAAATTGGTTGCAGAAAAAAAATTGAAGCAGGTATAAATAGAAATATTGGTTGCAGAAAAAAATTGAAGCAGGTATTTTGCTTTCTGGCATCTCTTCAGTGTGTTAGTGCACACACTGAAGTGGGTGGCATCACACTGTTGATCAACAAAAGCCTTGCACTGTTGTGGAAACCAGTGTAACAATATCTGCTTGAAGAGGTTCTCTGCATTTCTAAATGTAAATTTTACAGAAGAGCAAGCACTTTGTTTGAACTGCATCATCTGTCAGATTGCCTAAGTCACTAAAGTTAGATCTCTAGTGCTTGCTGCATATTGCTAGGGTATTTATTAATTTGTTCTGTTGATTTTTTGCTATGAGGTGACAAAAAAAGATGTAATCCACAATATCTGTTCCAATATTCTTTTATATTTGTAAATAAACATATTTGGAAAGACCTTTGAGCAGAATAGTAAATGTTTTTATGATATTGTTTGGTACAACTAGATATTCTAATGTACATAGCAGCATATCACTTTATGCTCACCTGACATAAATTGCATCAGTTCTTAAGAAACACATAATCTTCATTGCTTTTAGTCTCTATTTAATTTTGATAAGATCATTTGTTTATTTAAAATTAATAATACTTGAAAATTATATCTCTTTTTAAAAGATCTTTAACTTACTATGTTAGAAAAAAATTTGGCTTAAATATTGAGTCAGTTATCAAATCATTTAAAAATTCAAGAATTTATCATTGAGAACATGCTTTAATGTACTTTAAATATAATATACAAATCATTGTTCCAAAAAAATATTCTCATCTGTCTTCCCAGAGTATTAGACCTCAAACATTGTAAGATATTAGTGTCTAATTATTCTTTACTGGAAGAGAAAATGAGTATTTCCAAATAGGTAGGTAGGTAGGTAGGTAGGTAGATAGATAGATAGATAGATAGATAGATAGATATAGTATATGTATAATTCAGAAATGAATACATATAGGTGTTTATATATATGCATATATATGAAGCAAATCATTTTTAGTTTATTTAACTTAAAATCACTTATCTTACCCATTTTAAGTTTGCATGTTAATCTTAAATGAAATAATGACAAGGAGAGAGAAGAAAGCAAATATGAAGAAAAGATATATTAAAGTGAATTTTCCTGCAATGTAGAATGTAGACAGTAGACTGTAAATTCATTGTGACAGAGAACAAAAGGGCCCCTATGGACAGCCTACACAGCAACACTGAGTGATAAGCATGTTATTTTATGAGGCTAGAAGTCTAGATCACTACAGGTTTTAAAAGGAAATATGACAAAAAACATAAAGCTCTTTAACAAGTAGCCACATAGTTTTATTTTACAGATATTATGTGTCGTCAGTACAATTTTTAGCTATGAATTGGTCATTTAAACTATTTTTATACTAGTATATCCTAATCAGCATCAGAGGTATCATCTTCACAAATGGAGGAGCAAAATTTTTTAAATATATAAGTATATCTGTTTATCTTTTTTCACTTAGAACACTAGTTAGTGATTGATAGTGCTTCTAGGATGGCATTGTGAATCATAAATGGAATTAAATCATTTCCCTTCATTTTCAGTTAAAATGTGTGATAAAGTGAAAGCACTGAACATTGATCAAGTCAAAACTGGTACCCTTGTTAAAGACAAGGTAAATACCCAGTTTCTGCCCACTCTAGCCATCCTCTCCCACCTATGGTTAGGGAGGACTGAGAAACACTTGTTAAACTCACAGTCCAGAGGCACAGGCTCGCTAAAGACTGAGACCCAATGACAGGACTGTGGAACACGTCCCTTCGCCCACACCTGACCACCACATGACTAAAGGCCTATTTACAGCAGTTCCTTTTATCCAGTACATCATACCTGGCTACCAAGTAAAATAGCCATTGGAAAGTGGCTTAAGACAGTAATAACTGATCATTTTGTGTAAGCACTGATATATAGCATGTACTGTACACTAAGTTAAAAATATTTTTCTTTCAAGGTAACTGAACTGCACAACATCAAAAACATAACCAGGCTGCCTCGAGAGACAAAGAAGCATGCAGTGGCAATTATCTTTCATGATGAAACGTCAAAGACATTTGCCTGTGAGTCAGGTAAGCAATTATAGCCTTGTCTCCAGCTTGAAGGTATGGAATTGCTTCTGAGACAATAGCCCAGATAGATTAAGATCTACCACTGAATAGGATGGCTTATTGTGATGAGAATGTGCTGTGCAAGGCTTTAGTAAGAAGCTCAGTGTATCTATTTCTACAGCTGTTTTGGGTGCTTGTTTATTACGTGTCCAGCTTTTGCTCCCAGGTGGTCTGAGGACTCTTGAGGTTTTCCTTTCAAGCTCGGAGAATTAACTAAACAATGCCGGTGAGAAGCTGTTAGGGCAAAGCTCGTGCTGTGTGTTCTGGTCCTTGCTGAGTGTGTAGCTGGAGGCAGTTGGTAGCACAACAGTGCTGCTGTGCAGGAGTGTGGCACGGCACAGCCGCGGTCCCCAAACATTTCAAAACAGAACTTTGAGTGATTGGTTGCCTTCATGGATTCTCAGTATTACAATGAAATACCTTTCAGATTGAACTTTAGTATCCCAGTTCATAAAACACTCTGGCATTACTGAGTCACAAGGCAGGTTATTGTTGGAACTTGCAGTGTTTTTGATTTTGGAATCCCTGTGCTGTGTAATATATTAGTTGGCTTATTATAGTTTTTTAAGATTTTGCTCAGGGAAATGGTGTATTCATTTTATAATGCATGGAAACAAAAAGGACTAAGGGTTTGAAAGACGTGAATTTCAAATACTAGATGAGTCTTTAGGAGATTTGTTGAGTAATTTTTAAAAGGGAGTAAAGTTTCTGTATTTATGGTTAAAGTTTATAGGTATATTTACTACCGGGTTATGTTATTCAAAAACATAAAGTCACTTTGCCTAAATAAATTGCTCATACCTCCTCACCTACACTTATCTTAGCTTTGCTCAATTGAATTAGAATGTATCAAAGTGTTCCTCTTTC